TAGTCGTTTGGACTCTCCATGTGTCACGCCAAACGAGCCTCGTGATAGATGCCATAGACCAACACGGGGGCCAGATCAGGCTACGGCAAGCATTATTCGGGTTGCGTGTCGATAAAAAATTCCAAACATTGGGGGAAGGCTGGTGTCACGCACAGCGACGACTTCGGCCGCGCCAGCCACCTGCATCCAATCCCGCTTCCGGACTTCTTGGTTCGGACTTGACACCGGGTACATTTGGGTGAGGGAGAAGAGAGTGCGGTGGATGCCGCGCAAGTCTACTATCCCTTAAAACTAACTCACGCGCAAGTCACCGTCCATGCACCACCCTGATATGGAGCATGCGATGGACGTTGTCGAATCCGACAGGCGAATTGTCGGACATTCCCAAGTGTTTACTCTAATGCCTGAGAGAGCAACCACGGGCAACCTTACCCTTACTTTTTGACCTCTTTTAGACGAAAGAATTGGCCTCTGCTACGGAACAGTTGAGAGAGGAGATTCGTCGTGCTTTCCAGTTAGATTCCTTTGATAAGGTGGCTCAACGGGCACAATTAATCAACGATCTTGGACTGGGGAATGATGTCTAAAAGTACCCTGTATCGTCGGTCAAACGGTCATAGCAGTTGGCATTTTACAACTGGTCTGTTTAGATTTGCAGTCATTTAGACTCTCGCCTTTTTGAGATTGTTTTTTTTTCGTCGTTTTTGTATTGCTTTCATCCTGCACAGAGTTTAACTCACTTTCTGCTTAAACAAGAATGTGAAGGTTCAAGTTCTTTGTTTGCGTTCTTAACGCATGATTTACGGGGGGATCGGATGACAGCTTGTCTAGTCAAATCTGCTTTCTTCAGTTATTACGTCAAATATTGAATCCTTTAGAGGTTCGCTGGACTCGATCAAAGTTTTCATCTCCTCGTCGTGAAACTAAATTATTTTGGGAAGGCTTCAAAAACCCACGTTTTCTCATACTTGTTGATACAGTAGTCGCCGGCTATTAAGCCCACGGTTAATAAGCCCGCCGCTTATTAAGCCCAATTTGGTCTGGGCCCAATGTGGACTTAATAACCGGCGACTGCTGTATTTCACAAATCGCTCATGCAGAATAGACTGTCCGCTGCCCTGATCTTATGTCCCATTAGCGAAATAATAGCCGATTCTCACTTGCTATCCAGTTACTTTTGTAAAACTCATCTGCTGGTCATGAGGCGGAACACCTGACTGTTCGGCTGCAAAAAAAACATATTTATCTTTTCATAATTCATTAAGTCCTGAAAAACGATCCAGGATCAATTTGCGGACGAGTTCTTCGAAAAAAATTTTTCAGCATACCGCTGTTATTCTGTGTACGCTAAAATGCACCCAGAGTGAAAACCGCTGACAACAAGTTGGGTATTCTTCTCCTATCTTGTTTCCCACTTTAATTCATTCCAGTAAACTGCAAGCAATTGAGAATCTTTAAAGATAGCAAAAACAGCAAGATTTATTGAATCCACGGCATTTCGAGAGAGCTCTTCAGTTGCTACCTCTCATTGCGCAACGGGAATCACCTAAGAGAAAATGCTACTTGAATTCTTACAGAAAAATCGATAAAAACAACAAGGTCATAAGACATGGCCAAGAGGCTAATCAATAGCACAAGAAGTTAAAATGCTATGGACAGCAAAAACCGGGAAAAGACGTCTGAATTGAAAAATTTGGAGGGGAATGTGTAAACAGGGAACCAATGTTACCACGGCAGAGTTAGGTTCACTACATTCTCCAGCTGTTTACATAGGTCGGGTTTGAACCGCCGTATGTAGACCGTATGCAGCCGCACGAAACTTTAAACATTTTATCCAAGCTGTCTTCGGCAAACCTCATAGAAGCTCGCCCGATGAGTTGCAATATACACAGGGCCGACGTGGTCGCCTTCGCGCAGTTCATTATTAGTTTGAGTGAATATGTAATCCACACATTCAAGTCCTTCTGACTTAACTAGCTGCACCGTTTATAAAGTCAATCTTCGGGTTGGAAGCTCCACAGCTGCGAATTTGAAGAACGTTGCACTTGCTAACACTGAAGGGCTTAAACCAGCGCTTAAACCAGTTCTCGAGCCTGTTCAAGTTTATTTATAGATGGTCTTCGTCTGCACATTGTGAACAACTTTCCACGATTTTATGTCGTCAGTGAACAGGATGACACCACAGTCTAGGTCCCTAAAGCAGTCATTGATGAAAACAAGGGATAACACGAGACCTAAAACTGAGTCCGTTGTCATGCAGGGTTGCACTTTAAACGCTTCGTCGACTTTTTGTCAACTCTCCGGATGCTGCGGTATATGCCCTGCTACTAGAATCGGATCTGCCTCTCAATCGATAACTGAATGGTTCCCCGTCTCTTAAGAGTGAAGGCGTAGGCCAATTGGAGGCCTGTTCCCTCACCCCTCTGAAATTTAAGTATTGTGTGCGTATGCAGCGCCACGCTTCAGCAAACCATGGTCTCTGCGGCCTGGTATGCCCCGGCAGTTTTCTTGGATCTGATACCTTTCGGTGTATGCGCTTGCGCTCCCACTGGGTTTACAGGCCGGGTACATGGTTGCCCGGGTAGCCGTCTCTTCTCTCTCTGATCCAGAAGATAGACATTGTCGAAAACGACGGTCGATCTATCACTGGAAGCTGATTACATGTTGGAAGATGATTTTTACAATAAACTTCATGCGAAAGCCAGGTATTTACCTTTAAGCGACCATCTTGTCGTCGTTAAGATAAAATACCGTGGAGGGGGAGCGAGGCGCAATTGCAAAATGCGTCAGTGACCACTGCTCAGTGATAAACCTTTGGGCGATTGGCAATAAAGCTTCCTAACGCAGCGTTTTACCAGTTGCTTCTTAAAAACACGTATTCCAGCCACTTTAGGAAAAATACAGTCACCTAGTATTCCACTGACTGCCCACCTAGGCAAAACAGACCAGTGACTGCGCACGCACGCTAGACCAGCTCAAGTACAAAACTTCCGTGCGATGCGTGGTGCCGACATCAGCACGAAAAGTGGCTCTGGCGGTGGTCTAGTGTGGTTCCACCACAGCTCATACCATGTAGAAAGGGCACAACCCGCAAGAAAAAATATGGCAAACTATCTCAGGTATCCTGCCACCACTATTGGGCTGACGCAAACAGCAATTCCCAATGCGTCTTCAGTCGGAAGCAGCTGGTTAGGCCTCGAGCGGCAAGTTGAAATACAAGCACGCTTAAAAGGTCAAGCACAAAGTTGCGCTGGCCAAACCCACATTGAGCATGGCCTTTTGACTCACATTTCTGGAACAACAATCGTGCCCATAGACTGTACCTACGCCATAATCAATCCGACCCGCAAAAAAAGGCCACAAGTCACTGCAAGCGAACTACCGATACGTAGACTTCCTTGAAGTAGTGGTCAGTATTCCTCTTAAAGCCGCTTACACTTGTCCTGATAAACGCCAACTCCTGACAAGGTCAGGACGTATGGACTAGCGATCCTCGCAACTCCGGATAGAGGTTTCTTTCTGCTGTATTTTTCTTAAATTGATGCCGATACCACCCAAGAATTTGTTGTCTGACCAGCCAGTGGGAGTTTTCTTCCGAAAAATCTACACTAACAAACCCCTCGGCTGTAAAACTCTCCCAGTGCATGCGCGGATCGGCACACTTATCGACCGAGTTACTACGTGAGTAGCAGGTCTCCACTAACCCATGGCCTGTCTAGCAGACGGCGGTGATGTCAGTAAACCGACCTACCGTAAAAGTGGGTGTAGATCTGTGATTGCTCCAATTTGAATTCAGTCAGTCGATCAATTGATCTGCACCGACAAGCACTGCCTCACGTCAAAGTTGGTTGTTGATTGACTGTGTCGCGCCTCGTGTTATTGACAACTCATCTCTGACGAGAGAATTCCACGAGGAACCGTAGTCTCCGAGAGGTAAATTTGTCGCAGGCATCTAATCCGCCTTCTTCTTATTACAGCAATACATTTGTTATATGAGTACTTGTCTCTATCCAACAATTCCCCTTGTACACGAACATTCTACTGTGTTTTGATTGAAAATGTGCCTGAATAGGAGGCCGCGTCTCGAAGTAAAGTGTGAGGCCAAGTCTCCATTTCTAAGTGGACTTTACGACAGTACTGCCAAGAATCGCCAAAATAAATCACTTAAGTAAATTCCTGTGGGTAGGAACGAACATCCTTATTTTATACTAGTGATTTCTTTGGAACAAAACAGAAACAAACATATCGGTGTATAATGGGCTCTCACACATCTAAATCGATTTTTCAAAATAACAGGAATTAGTGTAAATTCTGGTAAAAATGTACCGGTTTTTCTTTCAAATATGACGTAGCAAAAATAAAAAGCAAAGGTGTATATCAAATGTACAAAAAAGGATATAAAAATTTTAAAACGGAAAGATACAACTACAAAACCATTATCGAGAGAGCCATTGCTGACGCTAGCCAGCTCAGTTCCGATGTCCTGTTTTCTAGAGATATATCAAGAGTGTATATCGAACGTACAAAAAGAGGGTATAACAATTTTAACGCAGCAAATACACATCTACAAAACCATTATCG